CCTCGGAGAGAAAGACCCTCCTGCCTAGCTGCCTGGAGGAGTAAGAGAAGTGGACCCACCCTCCCCTTTGGCCCCCCGATCTCCCTCTTTTCCGGAGAGGAGGCATGGGGGAAGGAGAGGGGCGGTGGGGCCGGGAGCTGGCGCCGGGTTCTTTGTCTGCGCCGGCTGCGCCCCGCGCCCCTGGGGGCTCGCCCACCACGGAACCCGGGCGGCCCGCACTTGTTCTGGGGATCGCCCGCGGCCCCGAACCCTGAGCGGCCCCTACGCCCCCTTCCCATCCAGACCTCGAGCCCCTTCTGCTGCCCCCACCCTGCTTCTCGCTGCAGCCACAGAGCCTCATCTGTAGCCGGATTTAAAATGAGATTAAACGAAAGTGGAATTGGCAGCCTCGAGTGGTGCCTGGAAACGGTGATTTGTGCCGCCCGGGTGTGGGGAATTGTGTGGCAGGAAGGGCTGGCGGAGCCGAGCCCCGACAGGCGCTCTTCGCCGGACTGTTCTGTTAATTCATTGCTGCTGGTTCTTCAGGCGAGATGGTTGTAATTTTTAAAACTCAGTGTTTATTACCTTTAAATGTCAGCTAGGACCAATGTCCCTGTAATGGGGGAAGGGAAAAACGTTCTAGGGAGATGCTGGCAGCGGTGATTGAATCGGGTGGTAATGAGCTACTGCACATAAGACTGCGGGGAAGTGAAATAAAAAGCACGTTTTTAACCGAGGACGGCAGGCAGGGCCCTGCGGCATCCGGAGATGGGGAGTGGGGTTGCCAGGTTTTAATGCCTCTCCCCACCCAACCTTGGCTTACCACCAAGCCCAGACAAACCCGCATACAGAAATGAGAAGATTATAAAATTGGAAGGGATGGTGTCTTTGCCTACATTTGTAGGGAGTGGAGGTGGGGGGTGAAAGACAAGGACCAGGGAGGAGACCTCTACAATCGTTTAGTTACAAAAGGAAGAAATTGTGTTTTTTCCTCTTACCCCACTAAGTTCAGGCGGGTAGACAGGGCCCACTTCTAGCTGCCTTCAGAATCCCTGAGGGCTCGACTGCTGCATGTATATTTGATGTAATAATTGTTACCACTGCAGCTCTGTGATGGGTGCAGCCTATATGAGCTGGAGGTAAGTTACTTCATTGAATCCTCCAACCACCCAGAGAGGCAAAATGACCCCCATTTCCCAAGGGAGGAAATGCCAGAAATGTTAATCTGCCCATTGTCGGTAACAAAGGCTGGATGCTAGGCATCCTGGCTGCTGGTTCCAGTCTCTGCCCTGCAACCGTCTGCAGCCCTGGTTAGAGGGGAAGCTACCACCACCTCCTGTTCAGGGCAGGCAATGTTTCCCACTAGAATTACAAGAAATTCACCCACAACTGGCAAGACTATGGCCGTGTCTTCCAGTTCAGTTATGTGAATATAACCTGAAAAAAAAAAATGAATCACTTCTAGAAATAATCCAAAACTATTGAACGTTTTCATTTATTTTTTAATTTTTGTTGTATTTATTGGAGTGACGTTGGTTAATAAAATTATACAGGTTTCAAGTGTCCAACTCTATAAAACATCATCCGTATATTGCATCGTGCATTCACCACCCAAAGTCAAGTCTCCTTCCATCATCATATATTCCCCCTTAACCCTCTTCTACTTCCCCCAACTATTGAACATTTCAGTTAACACTTAAAACATGTTACCTCTGTGCTAAGCACTGTCCTAAGTACTTTACACATATTCTTAATCTTCGTAACAGCCCTATCCCATTGGTATCCTCATTTTACATATAATGAAACTGAAGCACAGGGAGAGCAAGTAGCTTCTCCAAGGTCACACAGCTAAGTGGGAGCTCTCACTTGAACAGTCTAATTCCAGAGTCCCAGCACTGAACCCCAGGAAACGCCTCTATGGAATGCATGTTGATGTTGTTCGAGGGATGGGGAGAGAACCGTTCTTTATCTAAGGTCAGATTACCTCGCTTAGTCTTCATATTAACTTGTGAAGTGGGTATAGTTATCATTTTTTAGAAGAGAAAGTTGAGATCCATAAAAATTGAGTCATTTGTCAAGGGCACTCAGTAAGAAGAGAAGTCTGGGATCCAATCTGGCCATGTTCGATCCCAGGTGGCTGCTGAAATCATCTTTAGTCGAGCACTGATAACTGACCCAGGACATACCTGGCACGTCCTTACCAGAAGGTCCCCCTCTTTCCACTCAGTGAAGGTACACTCTTGGGCACCACTCACCCTGGCTTTCTTAACATTCCATTTATGTGGCCAAGTTTATTCTTCAATCTTCCCCTTTTTTGTGCTTTCTTAACTTTTTACAGCATTACTTTGCTCTGTGCATTCAGGTGACTTTTATACTCTTAACTACTCAGGCGCCAATCTCTGACTACAGCCCTGTGGTTGTTCATTAACAGGCACGGGGACTGTTTAAATAACGCCCTTAGTGGTGTTGAGCTGCTTAAGGAGAGAGCAGATGTACACTCCACATAGTAGTCCTTTAGACCAGACTGTGTCACACATCTCTGAGAATTGCTGGGTTGAATACAAATTCAACCAGTTATTATTAACACTTTTTAATCTTAAAAATAAATCAGGAAAATGCATAAGATGGATAGAGAATCACCTTGAACATTAGGAATAGCATCATCCTACCAGAGCAGTTTACTTTAAGTCACACAGTAAGCGGCATCCGAAACGTCCAGTTTCCCAGCTTGTGTGCTAAACCTTAGAATTTACTTCTTACATAAAAATCAAGAATATTTGTCTCACAACAATAACAACAAAATAAAACATACACATGGTCTAATGAAGAAAAACATGGGAGGTCAGATCTTATCTATTTCATTAAAAATAATAATATTCGTCTGATCCACAAAAATCTACAAACCTTCAAACTAAATAGAAAATTAGAGAAATGCTTTTCAAGAAAAATAGGTTATAGTCAATAAAATCTGCACACACAGAAAAGGTGGTGTCAGGAGTGAGAAATGAGTAAATCTTTGGAAAAGAGAGTTTAAAATGAGATAAGATTTCTTTATAATTAAAAGAGCTATGAAGTGCTAATTAGTGTACTAAACCATCATACCTAAGCATCCTTGGACTATAAATCCTTTCTTGAAAATAAGAAATTATCTCCCAGTATTAAATTTTAATCATAACACAAATGGGAAATAAAATATATTTTAAAAATAAAATAAAATAAGTAGAACCAGCATAAAATATACTTTTATTGCATTATTAGGCTTATAGAAAGTAAATTGCTAAGTGACCAAGGCATTTTAAAAAGGAACCAGCAATGATGGAAAACCAGAACCTGTGCAGGAGCACATATACATGTGGATTCCCAATTATATTGGAGACCCAATATATTAGCAGGTGATACTGTAAATCCAAAGAGGGAAAAAACGGACTTCCCAATAAATAATAAAAGGGTAATATGCACATTGACCCTAACGTCAGGACAACCAGAACGACCACTCGACCAGTCACAATGACTGGTCCTTGCCTTTCACCCCCCACCTTCCTATAAAATAAGTAGAACCGCCCTGGCTGGTTTCGCTCGGTGGATAGAGCATCGGCCTGCGGACTGAAGGGTCCCGGGTTCGATTCCAGTCAAAGGCATGTACCTTGGTTGCGGGCACATCCCCAATAGGGGGTGTGTAGGAGGCATCCAAAGAGGGAAAAAACGGACTTCCCAATAAATGTGCTGAGACTATTGGTTATCCATATGGAACAAAATTGGACTTCTGCCTCCTAACTAAAGCCACAGGCTTAACTATAGGGCCTTTCGCTTGCATGAGCCTCTTTCAGGGCCCGGGGTGTATGTGGGAGGGGGGATGCTGAGGGGTGGGGTGCGGGGGTGGGGGCTAGAAATGGGTTCACATGGTCATGTTTTTGTAAAAATTGAGAAGATATTTTGACCACATTGGTTAAAATCACCGTCCCTTTCTATTCTAACTACTCTTCATCACATTTCTCTTGGTGTAAATTGTCACTGGAGTGGCTGTGAGCATTTTGGGGGCTGTGACTAAAGGGAAGTCAATTTGGAGATGCACTGCATTTGAGTTTAGTTGGGTATATTTATGTGGTTTACAGTTACTGTTTATTCACTGATGCTATTGCTGGCTTCTTTCAGTAAA